CGTCCTCCCTTTCACACCGCTTAACAACAACATATGATGGATCGTCCTTCTCCCGCTCCCCCTCCTGCTGCTCCTCCCGCCCTTGGTCCTCCTCCAGCTGCAGCTCCTGCTACACGTGTGTGTGTGGGTGTGTGAGTAGAATTTGGCTAAGTGAGTCCAGTGGCTTAAGCGGCCACCACCTTGAGGTGGAAAAGAACTGTGCGACAAGATTGGTCGAAGGGCCAGGCTCCTCCAGCACAATGTTTTTTCTTTTTCTCTCTCTCTTCTTGGCTAGCGCCGCCATCCATTTTTGTCTGGTAGCACTGTTCACCTGAAAATTGTGGAATGATTCATTTTGGTGTTTCAAGTTTGCTTGTGAAAAGTAGTGGTGGTTTAAGCCATTAGTACACGGCCCCAGCCTTGCAGTCCGAAACTTGTCGCCCCAAGAAAACAAGGCCGTGGGGGTCAAGCACTGGGCCTGCTGTTGATAAATTGGATCGGCGGCCGTGTTTTTGTTCTACGCTTCCAGAAGTTGAGGTGTCAGGCGCGGGCCACGTGCCCATGTACTGGTGCTTTAAGGAACTCCAGTAGCTTCCGGAAAAAGTCATGATGGTTCAGGGCCGAATTTGTTCGGATAGCAGGCTAGATTCAGGCCCTGGAGAAATTCACAGACTGCAATGACGTTCCCACCTATAGGTAGGACCTTTCCAGCAGGCCCAGCACTGCGGTAGAGGCAGACAGTATCTGGACTAGAGGTACTGGAGGGCGGGAGGTGTGAAACTATCATTCGATCCAACGAGTGAACCAGGTCTTTTGGACATTGGTCCCGCAGTCATGCTGCTGCTCCGCCTGCATCTTGGAGACACGGTCGGAGATCGTCCTACTTTCAAAGGCCTAATCACTAAGAGGGTGAGTTAGGCAGAGCTCTGGCTAAAGCCTCCATAGCGGTGGAGCAGGAGGAGAAGGGTGTAGGCCTCGGCTAACGAGGTAGAGTGAGAAGTACCTCAAGCTAGGCTATGCCGGAGGGAGGAGGAAGAAAGAAGAGGTTGAGGGAGAGGAAGAAGGAGGGAATGGACATTGAAGACTTACCTTTGGCTATGGTGGACCTTCATCTTGACTTCCTTGATTGGCACTGCATCTAGAAGGGCCCTGTGGGGGTACCGGCTGGTCTTACACTTCATAAGGGAGTCTGGCTATGGCAGCAGGAGTCACTTGAGGGGCATTAGCAGTTGCGATATCCTTTGAACATCCACTGGTTGCGGGGATGTTCTGCCATAGCTAGTTTGCTACAAGAGATGGAGAGAGAGAGAGAGAGAGAGAGAGAGAGAGAGAGAGAGAGAGAGAGAGAGAGAGAGAGAGAGAGAGAGAGAGAGAGAGAGAGAGANAGAGAGAGAGAGAGAGAGAGAGAGAGAGAGAGAGAGAGAGAGAGAGAGAGAGAGAGAGAGAGAGAGAGAGAGAGAGAGAGAGAGAGACAAGAGTGAGGCTGAAAGGGAAGCCCTTCGAGTGCTGACAGCAACGGGGGTACTTGAACATGGTTCTTGTCCATCCATTCACTTACTATTGTATTTAATTGACCTGTACTGGAAGAGGAGGGGAAGTTTGACGAAGATGGAGTTGGGAGAGAAAAGAGGGATATGAGTCATATGATATTGGTTCAAAGTTCAAACCATACTTGCGGTGCACCGTGCATCATGCGCCATGCACAGATTAGTGATGCACTCAATTTTTTTATTTTTTTTATTTTTTACATGTGTGTGTGTATACAGGGGGGGGGAGAGAGAGAGAGAGAGAGAGAGAGAGAGAGAGAGAGAGAGAGAGAGAGAGAGCAAAGTATCCCTTTCACACATATCAGAGGGCCCCTGCAGGTAATCTGAAGGGTCCCCGACTCACCGCAACAAATTAGCATAGACCCTCCACCAAAATTGAGGCAGGCGATGAGTATGAAGTGGAGCAGCAGCTGGCCGAATATATAGTCTGGATTTGAATTCAGGTCTGTGTTTGAGCAGTTATGGGTTTCTCACTTAGCTTTTGTCTTTTGTGTTCGGGCCGCTGCACGTTAGTGACGCATAACCGCTGATACACAGACCTGAATTCGAATCCAGACTATATATTATCGGCCCCACTCATGCAAAACTGTAAGTCTAATGCCTATCTCTGCCTCATGATGGGTCCTTGCTAATTCGCTGTAGGGGCCCTTCGGAAAAGAGACTGGACACAATTAGGACATGCACACCCACACGCACACACATGCACTCACAGTTTTGGGGTATGACGTGGCCCAAACTTTTTTCCCTCTTGCAGTTTGATTTTTAGAAGCGAGCGGGGCATGTTTGGCCACCCCACCCTGTCCTTTCGTTTTCTTTTTTCTTTTTTCTTTGTGATCCACCGCATCACGTGCGTGCGCACGAGTGCTTGTGCGCTCTGCGCCGCACATGCCGCCCCCCGGGCCCCCCCCGCGCACGGCATGCGCCGCAAGTATGGTTCATACTTGTGTATTCTTCTTCTTCTTCTAACCTCCTTCATTCTCCTCTGCTCTCTCTTTTTACTTCTTCTTGCTTGGTCTGTTGCAGTGGGATTTCTCTATCGTTGGCCAATTACATAATGAGGAGTCGTATTCACAAGCTTGATTTCAGCGACATTGGATTGGAGCGAATGGGCTGCTCTCCTCTGCTTGAAGATGCCCTTGTGAAGAGCCAAACCCTTGCCTCCCTTGATATCAGGTCCGTTTACGACTTTTCATGCTAAGCTTACATTGTTTTTCTCAGCAACATTGTAGTCAATAGTTCAACCCCTGGTTGATTCTGATGTTTTCAAGTATCCAAAGAATCCAAAGTCACTGCTTCACAGTTTCTGTCTTGGAAAAGGCAGGTCACGAGCACACTTCACGTCTCTGTGACTCCGAGAATGTGTGTGTGTGTGTGTGTGTGTGTGTGTGTGTGTGTGTGTGTGTGCTGTCATGTTCGCTATACACAACTCCGCAAAAAAAGTATGACAGTGCCAGACGGTTTCAGCATACTATCACCAATTCATCAGGAGGGTGTGTGTGTGTGTGTGCAGTTGAGGGTGACCGTAAATGTGTGACTTTGCTCGGGGAATGTAATTGCTATGTTCCAAGTTCAGATCATGAGACATGTATTGCAACACGATGAAGTGCAACACGAGGAAGTAGAATACGAGGGGGGAGAAGGAGAAAAAGGAAGTGAGAAATGAAGAAGAGGAAGAAGAAGAAAAAAAAAAAAAAGGAGGAGGAGGAGGAGAAGAAGAAAAAGAAGAAGAAGAAGAAGAATCCCTTCAATATAATCTCTCACCTGTCCTGTCACCATAACCTTCACCCTCAGTTGTCCTCCTCGTTTGTTGAATCATTTTGACACAAAGTACATGGATGAACAGGGAAGCAATGATGCCCGCCTGATTTCCCCGGTTGTGATTTAGACATGGCTGATGGAGGAGCTGATCTACGATAGCAGCCATTGGTACTGGCCCAATTTTCGGCCTCTCGCACTCAGGTCCATTTTCAGCCTCTCGCACTCAGGTCCATTTTCAGCCTCGTACACTCAGCTCTCGCACTCAGGTCCATTTTCAGCCTTGAGCATTATTGGGCCTATCCCTGGGGTCAAAGCTCCTACTTGCATGGGTCCTTCGATTCTGGCCATTGATTTTTATAACCAGTGGTTGGAAACCAAGGATTGAGATTGGAACCTCTGCTTGAGGGATTTTTTTAATTATATATTTTATTTTATTTTATGAGGGATGTTTTGACTATTCCCAGTGTGAGTCATTTTTTTTTTACATTTTAAAATTTTTTTAATAACTTAATTTTGAATTTGTTTYCTTATTTTTCACTTTTTTTTTTCTTTTTTTTTTTTTAATGATACATATGCCATCTGAACCAACGCTACCAGGGGGGATGCACGGCTGAGCAGTGAGCACCCTTGCAGGTCGCTCGCTGTCTGCCGTCCTCGGATACCCCAGGCATGTAGAACCTCCGGGACTCTTAAAAGTCCCTTTTTCTTTTTGTTTTTTCGGTTGGTGACTCGGTGGGGCTTTTCTTCACCCGTGGATAGCAGCCTGAATCCGGGCTCGTCGTCTTTTTCCCCCCTTTCAGTGTGGTCCGTTGAGGCCCTTTTTAACTTGAGGGGGGTTGGTGAGGAGGGTTTAAATGGGGCTTAAAGGGTTTTACAATTGAAAGGCAGGTGCCTTAGTTCGATCGTTTTATTAAATTTATTTTAATTTGTATCTACGATTCTGTAAGGAAATTCTGAGGCTGCTGACGTCAACTGGATGCATTGTCAATTCGTAGGCTGCAAGTAGCTGTGTAGTTGTAGTCTCGGCGCTGAGCGCCAAGTAGGAGGAAGGACTCTGGATACATATGTTGGTGGAGGCGAGAGTATGCTCTCATTGGCATTCGGATTCAGTGCTTTGGTTCTCCGTTGGTGGGGGGGAAAAAAAAAGGGAATTCTGAGGTGACCCTCAGTCATGACTCAAATGTTGTCTGCAGTGCAATTCTTCAAAACCCTGGCTTTTGTTTCCCAGTTTTCGAACTTCTTGCCTGGGTGCATGGAAAAAAAGAACATGTAGATTTGAAGGTGGAACCATATCTCAAAAATTTGTGTGTGTCACGCTTGAAAGTGCTGGGGCCATGTGAATTAAACCCCTCTGTATGGCTCCGATTTTAATTTATAACGCATGTCCCGAAGGACGGGTTTGGACTCTGGAGTTTTTTTCCAAGTTTTTCCGCAAGTGTGAGGAACAAGCCCTCAAGGGGCCCTATCAGACAGCACATGTTCTGGTCTAAGGCCCTCAGCAAGCCGAGTGCCCGTCCTAAGTGAAGGCTGGCCTGAATATTCGTCAGAGGCCAAAATTCTACATTTTCATATGTGGGTATTCAGGCTCTTGCAGCACGCCAGCTGGTTGGGTAGACGCGTGAGCCTCACTAAGCTGCGTCATACAGTTGGCCCAGGCCTAGACAGTTGCGCCCAGGCACATACACACAAAGCAGGGTCGATACATTGGGAAGCAGGCCATCGGCCTTTGGAAAAACAGTACTGCCGAAACAACCCAAGTCCGGAGACTCAGGCCGTGCCGAACTGAAAGGGCCCAGGCCCTCAACTGTAGAGAAGCGGTTAATGGAAGGCCCAAAATTCGGCGAATTTTGGCGAATTTTTCACCGAAACTGTCATATTTCCCTGAATTTTTACTCTTTTCTCAGTTTTTCCTTTTGCTTGTTATATATGTGCTTTAGGGTATATCTGTATTCACTTTCGCCGTATCTGAAGCAGTAACAAAAAACTTAGCAAAAACAGCAGACTCGAAAAAAACTTGGGCGAACTCCGAAAGCTACTCCGAATAGGGATTTATAGTGCTCTTGAGTTTGATTTTTTCATTTTTTTTTTGCCTGATTCGTTTTGTAATGTTTGTATTATGACCCTGCATAGTTTGTTCGCAAAAGTTTCGACAACATTGCTTGTAGCGACGGGTTTTAGTCTCGGGCCTGGACGCAGGGTCTGAGGCCCAACCGGAAGCTACTGGAAGCTTCCAGCCAGGCCACACGCAGCATCCAGGAGGCTGCCCCTTCCATAAAAGAAGTGAGGCAGCCCAGGCCAGGCATTCTGGCCAGTGCAGGCAATGCGGAAGTGCTGCTGCGCTATCGCTTGATGCTGTGCTGCTGCCAAGGGCGCTGACGGGGCGCGTAGTGGTGAGGTGGGGCGCTGCAGTGCAGCGGAGCGCAGGCAGCCATAGCCGGGCTGCTGGGCGCCAGGGGGTACAGCGGGGCGATCAGGTGGTCTTCAGGGAAGGAGGCGCAGTGTGGGGTAATCAAGGTCTGACTGAGGGTGACGAGATACGTACCTGGTACATGAAGAGAGGTCGGCTATGGTGTTGACAGTCATGTACATTGGTCTTTGAGAGTCGAAGTGAGCCTGTTGTGTGAACCAGCTGTAGGTAGGATAGTCGGGTAGAGTAGGCTGGGCGCTGGGCGCCAGACAGAGAGGGGCAACTTTGGATACTGTGTTGGTGTGGCCTACGGGCTTGAACATTGGCTCATTATTTCATTGTATTGCTCTATATGGATGGTATCTCGGCGCAGTTTGTACTCTCTGCTTTGACACGACTACCTGGACATCTGTGTGATTTCGCAACTTGGTTTTCTGTATATCGTTCACACTCATATTTCCTTGCACAAGGGAAAAAATTTCAAAAAATCGAAAATGGAAGCTGTTAGTGTCCCTTAGGACATCTATGATTTTAAATGTGGAATGAGACAGGGAAGATCAGTACGACGACGTCTGAAAAAAACAGAACACACAAATCATGACATGATTCCCCCCTCGATCCTTTGGCCCCGATCCCAGCCCCAACGCCCCCCCCTCCGAAAAAAAAGAAAAAAGGAAAAGAAGCTGACTACAAGAATGTGGGTCTGTTTTGTCTAATTTCGGAATTTGTCTTGCATTAATTACATTTTATGTACAGTAAGAACCGCATAGGCACGACAGGAGGAGCAATGCTTGCTTCTGTCATTCGACAAGGCCAAGGCAAACTGACTGCAATAAATGCCACTGGGAACCTTTTTGGAGCGGATGCATTAACTGAAATAGCTTCTGCTCTTCAGTACAGAATGGCACAGAAGACAGGTTAGTGATAACCGGACCGTGTGTGGCCTTGGCTTGCCTTTCCCTCTTTGAGCTTTCAGAATTCTCTTGATTAGTTTGCTTGATTCCTGACTTTTAAAAAAAAAAAAAAAAAAAAAAAAAAAAAAAAAAAAAAAAAAATCCTGACTTTTGCGCTCCTCTGTTTTGTTGTTTTCCCTCCAATGTTTCAGCATTCTCATCAGTCTTCTTTATCATGATCCTCTTCCTCGTTGTTTTTTTTTGTTTTCTTTTTTTTGTTTTTGTTTTGTCTTTCGTGAGAATTCTAACTCTGGGTGGGACCGTTCGTGCTGGCTTGGTGAATCATCAACTGTTTTGCTGCACCTCTCCTCCTTTTTTTTTTTTGAATTTGGAGAGTCTTGGACCATTTCTCGATGTATGTATGTCATCCATGCCAGGGCTAATCTTCATACTCTGTGATGTTCCAATTTAAACGGATGTCCCGAAGGACATCTCATCCCTCCTGCCAGATGTCCATGGGGACCAACTCCTTTTTTCGCTTTTATTTTTTCTTAACTTCAGTTCCGTGGGTGTTCCCGGATCAACATTCGTTCGTTGACGTCTCAAAGAGATTTCTTCAACAAGAGGCAGACTGTTAACTGAGAGGAATGTTCAACATTCGTTCGTTGACATCTCAAAGAGATTTCTTCGACAAGAGATTCCCTACCTTAGGTTCAGAGATAGTGAGATCTGTAGAAGGGGCTGATGGGTTAAAGAACGTAAGGTAGGGAAGTTGGGAAAAGAAGAATACTTAGAATAGTCAGGGTTACACTGCTTTTGCCCCACTCCCATTTTCTTCTTGACAAGAGATTCACAGCAAATTGAACATTCTGGTCGGTTTTCATTGAGCATTTTGTAGTCCTGCTTCATCCTGCCTTCTCCTCCTCCTCCTACTCCCTCCTCCTCCTCCTCCTCCTTCCTCCCTCCTCCCTCCTCCCTCCTCCCTCCTCCCTCCTCCCTCCTCCTCCCTCCTCCCTCCTCGCTCCTTCTCCTCCTCCCTCCTCCTGCTCCCTCCTCCTCTTCCCTCCTCTTTCCTCCTCTTTCCTCCTCTTCCCTCTTGTTGAGCCATTTGTTGACTGAGATTATCAATTCATCCATGCGTATTTTGATATCCATAGTATTCCATACACTGTTTCTTTTTTCCTCCAGTACTCTTAAAGAAAATAGCGGGTCTCGCGAGACCGTCCCATGCGAGACACCGCTGCCAGTGTTCGGAAAATCGCCGCGTTGCGCACACGGGCCCAACGTATTGCTGGCTTTTTTTCTGTGTGTCGTCATCGTTTCCCGCCTGTGTGCTAGCTCAGTCGTTACAGCCACAGACCAAAGTTCCTGATGCAGCGTCGCGGCGGGCATCTCCTTGTTGTTTTTCTATTAAGGATTTGGAGCATTTCTCAATTTGTGTGTCCTTGTTGGACAGGGGCGATGCTAATCTTCTTGCAATGTCCCGAAGGACTTCTTTGCAGTTTCTCCAGCCTTTTTTTTTTTGTTTTTTTGCCTAAACACATCCCTTCTGTTATGCGGGGCAGCCAGCAGTCCGGTTGCTTATTACCGGCAAGCAGAGTTCAGAGACAAGTGCAAAAGAGGAAGAAGTGGGGTACATCCTAATACCCCCCTGCCCAAGTTGCAAACGGGGGGGGGGGGGTGTTCAACGTGGAGACCTGTTATTCCTGCCCCGGGCCACACCCAATGTTTTCCAACCATTTCTGTAAGTGAAAGAACTCTGTACTACATGCGTTGCTTTTCCAGGTTAAGTTTTTGATGTTTGTTCCGTTTACTATAGTAGATTGAAAGTCTCATGATCTGAACACAGCTGTTGCAGCTTCCAGCTTGAACGTGGTAGTGCAGCAGCTGTAGAGAAGAAGCCAACTTAAGGTTTCGGGAGTCACGGATTATAGTTAAGATTTGCTGCTGCTGCCTCCCCCCCACCCCTTAAATACATTTGCTGCTTCTTGTTCTACCTTGTTGTGTTAGGTCTTCATGGTAAGCATTGCTCTTGTATTACCGTGGCAATCGTTTCAAGTTTCGACACACCTGCCGTTTCATGTTTGTTTGTTGATCTCCAACAGGCACCTCCTGCCTGATGCTGGATCTGAGGAACAACCCATGCAAGCTCTCTGTCAAAGTCAACACTGTGTTTGCTGAAGCAACAACGAAGGGAGAATGTGTGATCCTCTTCTCAGACAAGATCGAGGGGGACTGTTTTGTTGATGATGAGGTCTAAGGTTCAAACTTTGATGAGGTATGTCAGCTGCCTTCCATGCTTCTTCATCTTCTTCTTCTTCTTCTGGTGCTGCTGCTGCTGCTGCTGCTGCTGCTCCTGGATACAGTGAGCCTGGCTTTAGAAGCTCACACGATCATCATTATGCATGTACTCCAAAACTTGGACGGGGGAGAACTCAGCAAGGATTGAAATAATGACATCCTACAAGAAGGATTAGAGTAGGAGGAGGGGAATAACTCAAGCAGGCAATCAGAAAATACAATGTTGATGTCTCTCCTCCCTCTCCTCCCTCCACGGTCTCCTCCTGCTCAAGTGCCACCTCACAATTTTCATCAACCTCTCCTCTGCTATTGCAACTCTCTCTTCTTCCATGCAACTCCACCAGCACAAAGTCACTCTCCAGGGTGATTCCAGTCTGCCACTGGTTCGACAGGACCAGCGCAATGAAAATCAACTCTAGCTAGATAAGTCACACTTTACCCAGTGTGGATAGACTTAATCATTCTCCAGGCTGATTCACCATGCAGGCCTTCTGAAGCAAAACAGCATCTTCCTCTTTGATCACAGTCACCATTAAGTAAGCTTGAGGTGCTCTTTAGTCTTCTATCTTGCAACTGGCAATGACATCTCCTTCAGACCCCCCCCCGCCTCTCTCTCTCTCTCTCTCTCTCTCTCTCTCTCTCTCTCTCTCTCTCTCTCTCTCTCTCTCTCTCT